TCCACAAAAAATATAATAATATATTACTATAAGCGGAGCGATAGCAGAAACTTAAAGGGTTTTGCGCAATACCCTGACGAATGATGAACAAGCTGTTGGAGCAAAGAACTGCACAGTTGTTGGACACAGGAGAACGTTGACAGGGACAAAACCTCAATTCTCTGGATTTTATCCAGGAAATGAGAGGAATAAGAATAGCTACTCGACACAATTGCGACTTTTTACTTAAGGCAAGTGACCAATGGAAGGTCGTCCCTAAATAGTACGCACTCCCTCAGTTGGCAACCAGCGCTCAAAGCACCACCGACTCCGCGATGGACACCAAAAAAAAAATTGCGGTCGAATGGGGCTGCTTTTGCTGCACTCTTTATGTCGAAAATATTAAAATATTACCATCGCGCAAACTTTCGAGTGGTATACAGGCTGTATACATGTACCACAGTACCATCGAGAGTTTTAAGTTTTCAAATGTTGTAAGAAACATAAATTACGCGCATCCTTTCAAATCATAGTACATGAACATGTAATGTGGTAACGTACTGTTCTGTACAGAATGTACTTAATAAGTATTACGTTTAAAATACGTTATGCTGACACTATTGAACAGATATAACCTTTCAGTACTAACCTCTGCTCATTAAATACCCCCCAACAAGAATGCAGTATCGGTTTTAGGATTAAAATACCTCCCTCGGAATACGGAATACACGAGAATAGACTGTTCTGAGGTGCTTAAAAGCCACAATTCTGCAGTCCGTTTAAAGTAGGCAAGCAAGGACACTTGCTGCTTGCACCTTTCCTTCCTGCTTAGCTCGTCTCGCAGTTCTCTCTGCATCTCTCTAAGCCCCTGTACACTTCTATCCGACACGCCCGTCGAATCTGCTTGAATTAGCAGCTTTGCAATGCGGTGCTCTGGAAACCGCACTTCATGATGTGACTTCATGGTTAGCTGAAAAAGTACGCAGTGCCTCCAGTGCCTTCTTACATTTCAGTAGCTTAGGTGCTGTTCCTAATGATGGTCGATGCTGCAGCGACGATGGGCCCACTCGGCCAGGGCTCGAAAAAAAAATATAATATAATAATTGCTGCAATTGTTTTGACGAATTAACGGATTATTGGAAATGAAAGGCTTCCGTACAATATACAATTCTCCCCTTAATAATTATACTGGTCTTTTTTAAAGGTAAACAGTGGCAGCTTACAAATGCCTGGCTCGTACGAGAGCAAGCAAAGACATCTATCACTCTGTTAGGATTAAGCAGCCCAGATTAAATGCTCACAATATGCAACTCGGGGTAGGTCCAGAACCTGATTACGTTTATGTTAAATAAAACAGATTTCTGGTCGAATATAAATTATAGGAGGTCATGAACATTCCTTTACAAAACTCTTTACATGTATCACTATCTTGTGCCGTATTTTGATTGGCGAGGGACCAATCCAGGACCATAAGGACCCCCCATCCAGCAGCGTATTAATATCAGGTGTGAGAGCCCATGTGTAGTGGATTGGTAGGGTTGCTTCCAAACCACTTCACTGTTCGGACCCTAGCAATATTCTAAAATAATTGCAATACTTATTATTGGCTCCGACAATATTACTGTAGCGAATTATTTTTTTCAGCAAAGCCAGTTCTATTCTATATTTAATTGTACGAGCCCTGCTCTCGGCTAGATGTTGCTGTGTTAGGTTGGGGTGGGTACATTGTGAAGCATGGTGATGGCAAATTGGCAAGCGCTGAGCATTGGTTATTAATAAGCACGGCGCTAGATGACTTAGGTTCCCTGGCAAGTTGGGGCACTAGCTTGGAAAACTATAGAATGAGAGAAACTCCGGGAGGACGCAAACTCAAGGAATGACATGGATAGTAGCGTACGCTTGTTAGTTGGCCCCAGTAAATGTACCATTTCGAAGGAATCCAGAGCTTTTTCGCGCCTATCGCGGCTTTGTAAATATATTTCAGAAAATACAAATAAATTACCAGCTGAATGGGAATGTAAATTTTTATTATGCAACCGGTTTTTGATTTCGTGAATACTTTTCCTTTAAGTACTTCTTACAATCCTTGAAAAGAGCATGATAAGTTTCATGACGATACAGGATGTAATGATTATAGCCCTGACATGATGATGAATGGTGCCTATTTCACCCCAGTTACTAGATCCCTCAAGCCGTTGTATAAGTAAAATCCATGTTCCTACTTCTTGCAGCACTTTCTAGGACCATTTGAATACCTTATAACTACAATAAGCGACCAGAAGGAAAACATCTTAGTGTTGGCCCCACAGAAAACAGGACCTGTCGTTTTGCCTAAGCTAGAATCTTCTCGGTTCCAGGTACTTTTGCTTTCAAATGAGCGCAGATAGGTCATTCAAGTTGTTGTCACCTGGTTATCCAATGAAGGAACAGTGCTGGGTCGATGGTGTCCTCACTTATCCGTAAACGCTTGTGCCACGAGTGATGATGCTTCGTCACCGGAGAGTGCAATAGGCTCAGGCTTCAACAGCCAATTCGGCAAATTGCTGAAACCAGCTCTTGTCGCACAAGTATCAGCTTTAGGATTTCATCAACGTCCCTACGGGATTCACCAACGAACTTGACTTGCAGACGGTCCTCGCAGCTTCCCAACACACGCTCCTTGAACTATTATAAGATACAAATGCTCACAAGGAGAGCGCGTTGGCTACGCTCACAACGCAATTTCCATCCAAGAACGAACTCCAAGTCTCCGCTGCAAGACCATGAAGATTACGGCTCTCGTCGCCGCTGCAACACTCGCTACAGTGAGCGCCGTCACGGCTGACACGCCTGCTCTACGAGCTTTGGCTGACGCAGTTGAGGCCGATGCCAACGCCCCGACGGAAGGTGCCGACCAACAGGAAATGGGCTGGGGAAGACCTGGTTGGGGCTGGGGAGGTGGATGGGGAGGTGGATGGGGACCACCACGGCTGGGGAGTGGCTGGGGACACCATGGCTGGGGACACCATGGCTGGGGTCATCGTGGTTGGGGCTGGTAAGCTACCAAGTACTGGCGGAGCAAATCCGGACTCGAGAGACCGAATTCCACGCGAGAAACAAGCAAACTGTAGTCCTTCGCTCCCGTCGTCAACCGGTCACCTCTGCATGAACTCGTCTGTGCTTTCCTCTTGAACTGACGAGCTGAGTAGCGTTCGTTCTGTTTGAAACTCGAAATCAAATCATTTTTTCGATGTCACTTACTAAATCTGAGTTCATGATTAATAAAACAGCTCGGGGAGGCTGTGTGCCATTTTTGAGATCGGATAATATCCGATCTTATAAATGAAACTGAGAGGTTGTACAAAGCTGAAAACACACGTCTTCTGAACTCGTTAGCGCGTTAGTCGAGGAGAAATCTCCTGTTGATTGTAGGGATAAGGGGCTTACAAACACGTCGGATGATATCCGCGTAGGTTTTGATGCCCAGTTCTGTACGTTTGAGCTCGGAATCGGGTAACCAAACGAATAATCGAGCGGGTACCCCGGGTAAAAAAGAATGTTGACCGCTTCACACCATGGGATTATTGTGGGCACAGCTTTCAATGAATATACAACATTAAGTGCAGCTTGCATCTATGCTTTTCTATTTGGTGTAGCCACTAGCAACACAAGACAAGATACGCTGCGACGAGTACAGTAAGTACGCATAGCATGGATTCCAGTATTGATTTTGCATCAACGTGCTCTTTAAGTTTTAGCAGACTTTCTAGTAATTTAAAATTACTTTTTCCATTACCGGTACATGTACATTACATTGTGTGTTGCAGCTCTCGTAGCAACAAATCATCTCCTCCGCCTGCTTCGCGGCCGCAGCATTTACTTTGCTCGCTTAACTCCCATATGCTGCATATAGCTTGGCAACTGTACGACGTTAAGCGCGCGAAGCTGACATCCGAGCATTCATTTTCAGTCTCACTACCAGTCTATGACCTTATTCAGTGGTTACATCCATTATCCTTTTACTTTAGACAGCAGTAGAAAGTGTAGCACAGTCGGCAGCACGATGGGCCATAGCCAACAGAGATTCTTCTCTTGCAGATAGTACAAAACGTGTTAGACTTGTGTCTTCAGTTTCAGTAAATACGCTCCTAATCGCTCGAAAAGTGCTAGCTACTCTCCAATAATTAATAGAGAAGGAGAAAGAGGAGCAGGCAAGCCATGAGCTGCGTTTTAGTTTTTCGGTAATGCAGCAAGTGACGTTTTCATACAATTTTCCATTTAAGTTTAAATAAAGACCATTTGAACGCTAACAATCACTCAGAGTAAACTTGAATCGGGATACATGACAAACGACGGTGTTCGAGTTGGTATGATTTTTTTTTCGATTAAAATATATCTGTAAGGCACTCACATTAAAGGCAAATAAGTAAGTAGGCCGTCTGTGGATACCCTGTTTGGGTGTTCAGGTGAGTGCGGGTAGGACTTCTCATGCAATCGGATAAACTGTGTTAAAGCACATCGCCCGAAGGCGTGTATGCTTACATGTAACGCATTTGTATTAGGACGAGGTAGACTTTTGGTCAGCATATGTGTCTCGTACCGCTGCGCTGGGCGGGCCTTGTTCAGCCCTTGCAGCTTTATTGCGGCAACTCATGAAAGTGGTTTGGAACATAGAAAGTATTATTTATATAATATAACTTTACATTATCCTGAGTGGGGGGGGAGGTAGAATTTGCATGCAACCTACACGCCAATACCAGGCAGTCGCCGGTGGTTGATATGATGGAAGCGTATATTAGAGACCTTTCGCCACCAGCAGTATTTACCCATACCCACAGTGTTAAACAAAAACGCTGCACACTCTGCCCATCTGAGGATAGCGTTCTGCAGAATCTACCAGCCTGTAGAATGATTTCCTCACATCTAAATCGCCCACCTTTCCTGTTAAGCTATGCCACCCAGTGAGAAGCGTCGAAACTTCACGGGCGAAGAGGACCTTGCGCTGCTGCGCCAAGCAGCATTCGATCGGCCCTTTTTAAGTGAACGTGGAGGGGTCATTGCTGCTTGGGACTCCGTGGCTGCTACACTTGTCGGCGACGCAGGCTTTCCAAGAGACAAGCTTTCAGGAAAGCATGCACAGGCACGCTTGGACAAGCTTATTCGGCGCAAGAGAGATGCGAACACGGTGGCGCTTGCCGCATCGGGGGTCGCAGAGGAAGAAACTGAAGCTGTACGATTCTCGACGAGCTCATCGAGCTTATCGATGATCGTGCAGCAGTGCAGAAGTCTCAAAAAGACGCAGCCAAGCGAAAGCGTGACGAAGACGAGGAAGCCTCTCGAAACGTCCGTCGCCTCGCCATGCAGCGTCTTCGTGACGAGAGTACGACGTTACCACGAAAGCGCAAGGAGGAGGAAATGAGAGAGTTTGTACTCCAATTAAAGAAGCAGGAGATCGAAGCAAGAAAAGAGGAGCAGGAGACAAAAGCTGCTCAGCGCGCCGAAGAACGACAAAAGGACCGAGACTTTATGCTTGCATTGGCAGAGATGATTGGACAGCAGATCGCTGGAATTGTCAGCGCTAATCGTAGTTAGAACACGCAAATAAAACGGAAGGGTGGTAATTTGCTTTATGCTTTTAAGTATTCTGCCAATGTAGGGGGTACCAGTTCAAAATACTTACTGATCTGGTTCCCACCTTCATGGCAACAATGGCAATTGGTGAGCAGCATACTTACGGAGACATACTTACCTATAGGTCCCACCCGTAGTTTTAGTGACTTCTTGTAATCAATAAACGCCCAGTAGCTTTTCAAATGCGCGAACTTCCATTCCACCGATTCCCGCACGGCGCTCATTCTTGCATTAAAAATCTTTATCAATGCCGATACACTTGCACCTTCGTAACCCGACACGATGTACTGTTGGATAGGATACGCTGGGTCGCCGTACAGCGCGTACCCTCTAAAGATGTCGTCTTGCGTCTCAAAAAACTTCACCAGCTTACTTTCGTACAGCAGCGTAACGTCGTGGCGTTTGCCTTCTATGGGTCCCCAGAAATAAATAGCGAGGCCATCGGGAACGACAACACTTTGGTAAGTAAGACAATGAACCCTTTTGTGGCCCGAGTACACCTGTTTTTGCAGGGTCTCGCGGTGTCCACGCCGTGATGAAGGACGTGAAATCGTAATTTTGGTTCCGTCAATAAACCCAAAAACGTTGGGCATCGGCGCACTGCGAGCCTCAACAGCACTAGCATAGGTAGCGATACTGCGACGACACAAACTCTTATGGAAGTAGATCAGAGTGCTGTATCTATCATACAAGTACACAACTTTCCAAAAACAGCATTAGTATTAGTTTTACCATGCCAAACAAAGTAATGCATTCTCACGTACTCATATGAGAGAATATCCTGCTGATAGGGCCCTCTGCACGCCCAAACTTGCTGGATAGGTCCAGGTTTCGGTGTGGGTAGCTAAGGCGGTAAAGTAGAATGCAGAGTGCTTCTGTACAGTGGACCTTGTCTTGATTGCGTGTTACCACGTATTCAGGTAGGGCAAAATGAAGTGTGAGAGCGTAGATTGTAGCTCTGTCGAACCGAAAGTCGCTCTTGCAGTTGACGTCGGACTGAATATCGAGCTTGAACCTTATGGCTGGAATAAAAGGTCTCTCTGGCGGGACCCCTCTTGCGAGATATAGAAGCTGAAGAGCGTCGACGTTGGTGGTGCTGAGGCTCAGAAGAAGAGCGTTTTCCATAGGAGCTGGGTTGGCTGTCCTTGGAGGATGATAAACTCTGAGGATGAGGGTGGAGAGCTGCGAAAAGTAAAAAACGCTATATCCACACAATAGTGCCGTGGCCTGTCTATATTTTACGGATAAGGATAAAGCTTTTCTGCGAAAGGTCTCTATTAACAAATATTAATTGTGTATTTGAAACGACATTTTATTTGATGCTGAGCTTACGATGGATTAAATATTCCTTGTTGTCATTGGCATTTATATAGTGGTCGCTGAAACAAACACATTTGTGGCAGGGTTATATTAGAAAAGCAAGCAAAAGCAAAAGTTGAGAGCTATATGGCCACTAAACAAAATAATACCTTTCAACGTTTTTGGATAATGAATTTGTCTGTGATAATTTCTAAAAAAGGTTTGACGGGGTTAGACATGACGTCGGGCCGTTGTACAATCTGCTGGTGTTTCCAGGCTCTTTGGGTATTCTGCTCGAGAGCACATTTTCCTATTAAGAGTGGTAATTGCATTGAAGTTGCTCGTCGTTTAAAGGAAGGGGACCTTGTAGATGACCTAAACAGTGAAAAATTAACTGTTGGCTGCTTAGTTGCTGAGCCGAATCAGTATCTAGAAAATAGGCATTCTTTAACCGCATAGTTGTATCTAAACTGTCAAAGGCGTGTCGAAACGCCCTACCTAAACTAAGCACATCAAACTTAGCTCGTTGGCAAGCATTATCGGGGCCTATGTGTATCACTACACCGGTAGGGTAAGTTGGCGTAGTGCGAATGATCGGGCCTTTAATAAGTCACTCTTTTCTTCCTTTTCACTACATGTACCGGTGCAGCTGCACTAATAGTTAGCATTTATTGCTGGTTGCCTCCTCGGAAAATTATTTGCAAAACTACAAATATTGCGAATTTTATACGATAATAATTATGATTGACCCCCCTACAAACAAGTGCAATACTACATTGGTCCAGTTATTTCAATGAAATACCTGACTAGATTCTCGGCTCACTTTTGCGAGACCGGTTCGTTAAAAACCGGTCCTTCCTAGCGGTTCGGCTGTCGCTACCAGTGTTTAGCTAAATAGAATGGCTAAGCAAGCTCAACGCGGACTTTGCTGCCAATACTCGTAGCTACAGCTCACATCTCATTTTCTAAACTACGACTTTGGCGACAAACAGGGACTTCTGTGCATTTTTCTTTGAGCCCCAAGGCGAATGAATCCATCGCTGCAAGATTTGCAGTGCTAGCCGCAAGCAGCGGCTCGGTACGGGCTAATCCAACCTTGTGTCACACCTGTCGATCCACCACAAGGACTTCCGTGCGCAGCACGCCGCGCACAACCATGGTACCTAGGCCCCCTTCAAGATTTTGGGTTCGTATCTAAGGATAGCTACCATCGCTACAGTGGCTTCGGTGGGTGGTCGTGCGAGGCATGCCACTTAGCGAGATAGACGACGAGCTTACAAGGGCCATGTCCAAGTGGCGATCGACTGACTTAAAAGCCGTCAAGGCAGACATGATTACGGTAGCTGCAAAGATTCATGTCGTGATCTCCGATGAGATGGGCATCCTGTTCGGCATTATGTACGACGGCTGGACCCATGGCACCATGCATTCTGTTGCTGTCATCGGACGCTACGTTGTCGGTGGACGCCTCCAGCGAATCCTTCTTGCCGTGTTCCCGTTGGATGAAGGGAGCCAAGATGCTGATGCTCACATCGCCCTCTTTCGGAACGTGTTGACGGTTAATAACAAAACGGCCGACATGATCCTGTTTTTGGTCGCCGACAGCTGTAGCACCAATCACAGTATTTCCACCAAACTCAGCATTCCATTGGTCGGTTGTGCGTCGCACCGATTTAGCCTGGCAGCTTAAAGGTTTAGCTGAACACGAACAGCTGCTGCAACAGGTCAGCAACCTGATGCTGCAGCTATGCCAGCAAGCAATGAGGCGGGGCTCTCTGAGCTCACCCTGCTACGCGCGAAGAAACGCAACGTGACTCACAGGTCACCTACCTACGATATACTGCTAGCCTACGGGGCGATTGGGCCGGTGATTCTATTTGTAGAAGCTGTGGAGGAGATGGTGCCGTCCGCTAGCGACCTCAAGCAGTTGGCGGGGCACTTGAAGCACATAGATAAGCTCGACAATGTGTGCAAGTGTTTGCGGTCCGAGGCCACTACCATGAGCGAGGTCCGTCTCCATTTGACTCGGTCAAGGTAGACTATCCAATTATGGGTGGCCACCTTAAAGGAACTGCCATGATTGTGCATTCGCTAGCTTTTGAAAATGGGCTTGTCAAGATCTGCGATGGAGAGAAACTATCCGCCGCTGAGCCGTCGCGCTGAAACGTTTCGAGGCACCGCGGTCTGACGAACAGCCGAGCACGACTGGTCGCAAGCGCAAGGATTCTCGAAATAGCTACGCTGCCCAGATCCTGCAGCAGGGCGAGCCCAAGAATCGTCACGTGGAGCGAGCGGCGTCCACGCCGTTCGTAGCAGTGGTGCCACCGACATTAAACGCCTGTGAGCGTCTCTTCTAGATGGCCCTCACGCCGCAGCGAAGCAGCATGCCCCCCGCGCAGTTTGAGATGATCATGTTTCTCCGTGCGAGCAAGGATGTGAAGAACGTCACAAGTCTGGCATAGGAAAGATCATCATTTGCTAAGTTAACAAGTTTAATGCACGTATTGCCAATAATTGCGACGTAGTTATTATTGCTCCCTGCTGTATTACCATTTTATTATGGAGAACACGTGAAGTCAATGCCGTATCTTATTGTTTTCCGAGGCCTGCTTCCGTCAAATGCTGTATTACTCTACCGAATCGAACCTTTACCTCCCAGTACTACCCTGTTGCATTTGACGACTACCAAATTATTCTGTTTGGCTCTGGTTACTACCGGGCTACCGTCTAATTCAATAAGTTTACCGGTGCTTGGCATCAGCCAACTGTGAGGTCAAGACAAAGAATATAAGCTCGACGTTTATTGAGATCGTCTATAGCCTAAACCACTTTCCAAACCAACTCTGCATAATAGCATGCAAATACCAGCGAGTTAATCTCAGTCGGCCCGCCCATTGGACAAATAAAAAGACAAAATCTTAGACTGTCCCGAAAACCGAGCTTATACTGTATTACTATAGCTACAAGTCCTCCTTGGTCTACGTGGACGTAATAGCAGCTTCAAACATGCACTAATTACATATCAAATCGACCATTTTGTCCTGTAATCGTCGCCCATCAGACATACTCAACTCAAAAAAACCATTTTTGTCCTAGCTGCAAACGAAAACTATTGGTCAGTCGTAAGGCATTTGCATCCACTTATTACCTGAAGACAGTAATGCTACACGCCGGGTGGCGATTGCGTTAGGGTAAGTATGCATCACCCCTTCTTAATAAAATAGCTCAATTTATTAAAGATTAATTAAAGCAGTGGAAGCCTTCCAAAACAAAAACAAATCACTCGACATATATCGTTAAAAATCGTCTCGATAACCTACCCTACCCCCTAAATCCTGTAGCCATCTTAGAAATAGATCTTGGAATTTGCATTCAATGTGGTGACCATCGCTCTAGCCGGATCTACATTCACTCTCTCTACATATGTCTCGCATATCTCATTTTGCGCCTAACCTTCACTTTTAAAAATCGGCCGCTGAGAGCACTGCTGAGAAAGGTAATGCTCACGGAGACTGAGAGCGGATATTTGCTAATGATCTTTGTACCTCCAGGTCATGGTTAACTCGGCTTCGTACTGGCGAGAGCGATGCATCACAGACTCCTCAACTGAGGAAGAGGAGAACACGCCGCAGAATCTGCAGAGAACTGACACTGTCGACGAG